TGAGTACTTTCTGGAATCCATGCTTTTATTCCAGTGTTACCGCCTAGATGACATGAATTCAGCTCTTATTCAGCGAGACCATACCCCGGTGTGTACGGTAAATGGATTATTAACATTATAGCAGCCCTGTTCATCGGCTGGTGGACGCGCGTCGTGCCAGGAAAGGATCCTTGATGATAATTATTCTGCTGTTTCATGTCGGGCGCCCAGGAATGTACTTCGCGAGACGTGCACTACCCTCGTCCCGGTGAGCTCCCTCTATGGAGAAAGCGGACCACCTGAGCGGAGATTGGCAGGGAACTCACCGTTTTGTACTCTGTTTTCACACGGTCTTCCTGCACAAGAGAAAATCTCACCGAAATTGATAAGGACGAGACCAGGTGCACGGCGATATAGTGAAAGAGCGCTGACGAACTGAGGCTGGATCCCTCGATGTGAGAAAAGCCCTTTAGCTGAGTAATTGTAGCATTAACTCCATCTTCATGATCGCCTATCAATCCCGGAGACCATCCTCCACTTTATATGAACGCGTTTTTTGACAGTGCAGTTGAGATTCCTCCTGCAAACATACAAAGGACAATTACTCGGGGCAGGGGTATGTACGTCTGAAGCAATGTGAATATGACGCATAGAAGAGGTATGGACGGGACGTACCACACACCTCGAAATCAGAGTTCCCGTTCGTTGAAGATCATTCCTTTCGCGTTCTTGCTCAACACTGAGAAGGCGAGTTAGGTGTCCCAATTGGTTGGGCTCTGTCCTCGTCCTTACTCCTGTACTATGCATTTCCGTTGCTGAACACCAAGAAATGTGAGAGGGAAGTCTGGCTGCTTATATGCGCATCGCGTACCTCTCGTTCATTATTTTCAACACTCCGTTCGAACACTACAACATAGGTCCGGGCCCCTTTGCAAACTCTGAGGATCTGGTGGCTCAAGTTCAGCCATCGTTTAATGGAAGAAGATGAAGAATTGATGGAGTCTTGCAGCCGAGGAAGAGGATGAGCAGCGCGAGGTCATAGCGTGTGAAAGGCAGCTACGCTCTCCCTCTGTCTTATTTTGTCGTCACTAGTCCTGTAGCTGCAGACAACCATGAGTCGGAACTGTGTCCGGTCTGAGCGCTGGTGCCGACGTAGTACACTCCCGGCCCGTCGTCATGCAATTTCTGTCGGGATCTCCTACTATGGTATACAACCAACGAAGACTGGAGAGCTTGAGCTTGCTGTGCCAATCGAGCTTGGTCACGAACTGAAAGAGCAGATGCCATGGTGGCGAGCTTCTGTTGGGAAGACTCGCTAGCAAGAAAAAGGCTAAAAACCTATTATGAGCGTAGTCGATACAAACAAGAACATTGAAAACGCGAAAGACGGCCGTAGCATAACTGCCAGGATCCTAGGAAACAAATTTCCGAATACCAAGACGACGACGCCGCCACCGCGCAAGATGAACGCGAAAAGCACGAGGCAAAGAACGCCGCCTGTTCCTCAGTATTCGAAGTCTCAGAGGTAGATCCATGAAATGGCGAGCGAAATGCAACATTGATTCCAAGTCTTGATGGCGACGGTCCTTCTGGACTAGAAGGTCGCCTTCAGCCACGTCGCTGCCTTCGCCGTGGATGTCTGCTACGCGACCATGGCAACAGAGATGGCGTGGAGGGAGTAGAAAGAAGGAAAACTGTATTAGCCGAACATGGATGCGGTTCGGAAGTTGCGTGGCTGAAGTCAACTATCCTCTCAAATTTACCGGGGAATGCCGCCCGGGCCGCGAAGGTCGACGACCATTTTTTTCTTCACGTTTAGGCAGGATGAACCACAGATCTGGTGGATGGAATGGTTGATGGGCATCGGGCTTCCTTCAGAGGGCCTCATGGAGGATCGTATGAATAGAGGGCGGGGCGGAGGATGCATAGGCGATGCTTATTTCAATATCTCAAAAATGCGACCAAAAATGCACCTTTTCAGTTATTGTGAAAGAACGCGGACACAGGTGAGTATGGAATAAGCTCGAAATGCATTCTATGCATCTTCTTCATGACACTGTGGTGATGAGAACATAAGATTGGTGTGGTCTCCTGGGATATATCTAGAGTATGTCATGATTGACCAATCAGCTTTGAGCTTCAAGATATACTCCAGAAGGTCTCCAAATATCCCCAGGGTGTCTATGCAGCCATCACCACAGTGTGATCACCGACATCTAGACAATGATTGGATAGCTTGAGGGACTGAACCACAGCCAATGGCCACCACCTGGGCTGTCAGAGATGTACACAGCACCAACAGAAAGGTAAAGATTAGTCTCATTCCAGTGGTGATAGAATATCTGAAGGGCCTTACAGACACCAAGGGTTTTACATCCACAAAGTGCAGTTACTGGTGCCCCTAGCTTTTGCATCTTTAGCCAGCCAGACTCTTCTATGTGTGCTGTATATCTGTCACGCTATGGGCCGTTTAGGAAGTTGAATCCTTTCCTAGTTCTCAGATCGAGCTCGAGTAAAGCCGTCATCAGGTTCACAAAGAGTCGAAACCGTGCAAATGCCGACACCGACTACATCTGTGCAGACGTGATTCTGCATCCGAATGTGAGTTACCATCAGATGACAGCGGTGGATTACTACGAAACGCATGCGACACACAATGGAGACCGCGATTGCATGATTTCGAGACAGATCAACATTCACTAATAAGTAACGCGTTAAGCATAGCCTTCTTCGGTGGATTTATGATCACTCAGTACTTTTTTTAATCGTTTACTGTCTTCTGGCTCTAGCACATACCCGAGTCCTCGTCGGAAGATGCCACAACAAATAAATGCTTTGTTCTTTCATGTTTGCGGCAGGCAACCTTCACGTACACTATGTTCTTTTCTTCGGCGCTTGCTGTCGGCGCACACTACGCGAGACACCCTTCCCCGACCCGCTGTTTCGTAAATGACAGGGCTAATGCGAATCGGTGAGCTGCTTTGCTGAAACCCGGATGTCTTCTGCAGCCAATATCCCAGCTCGCACTTGGCAGAATTTTTGGAAGTACCCTTCCACTGCCAGAGAAACCTTCAAGTCATCTTCTACGAGAGAACTCGAATCCTGGCCTAGTCTGTCTAAACTTCGAGTCTTGGAACAAGGGCTGTCTATTCTTGTCGATAGGCGATCGATCATCTATCTTCGCGTCTTCGTCCCATGACAGTTGGTATTTTTTGACTATTGCCCGACTACCCTTGCGTTTCGTCTGTTTTCGTCTCATCAATCGTGGTGCCACATGAACAAGTCCCTGCTCGATAGAAATATCTGTGCTCGTTATATCTGGGTCTTCAGACACAGGTCTCGAATGTTCAATTTTTGATTTCTTTCCCGATCCTGAACAAGTGTTGAAACCGGAAATTGTCTGCTCTTTTCCAAGTATGGCATCATCATTTGTCCGGGTATCTAAACTTTACACCTTCCTGGCAAATCAGAAGTGGGCTATGACAGTGAGTATTAACCCGGTCCGCTTATCTACTGATCGTGGATCTTCATTTGGGGTTCGACGAGAGACGTTCACACACCCACCAGGATGGAGTACGATTGAGGTCTTGTGCAAGCATTCAGAAGTATAACGTCAGTGTCAGCATGAAGCGCGTCGTGAAATCCTGTGATACCCTTATCCTGGAGAATGAACAGAAATGAGTACCTGGAATTTATACGTCTCCGATCGTACACCTTTGTACGGCAGCTTCGGGAGAAACAACAATGTCCTTGACTTCATGCTTCTTGTAGCCGAAGCCGTTACCAAGCATTAGTAACCGAGGTCGGCCAAAGCACTAGGATCCCGAACTGTTGGACTTGCATAAAAACTCGTCAAAGATACTCTTACAAACCTCACTCACGAACATGCCTCTTCACCGCTTCTACATTCCTGTCGGATTGTATTCCAAAGAGGATAAAACTGCTGTCGTCAAAGCCGTCCAGCAGTGCTACCCCAACTTGCCCAAATTCTACGTTGTCGTGATCTTCATTGAGGTCGACAAGGAGAATTTCCACGTCGGAGGGGAGGCCACCGACAACTTTGTCCGCATAGTTGTGCACCATATGGCCGCCCATTTCAGGTATGCTCCTAGGTCGTTATAATCGGTGCGCGATTGAGAAGGTTATGTAGTGATGAGTACAAGAAAGAGTTCAGCGAGGGATACAACAAGGCATTGGAGCCGTTCATAAAGGCACGAGGTGCCGACTGGGAGATACAAATCGCGGAGATGGACGTGGGTATTTCCAGTTGGTCTTGAACACTGTGGAAGTTGACGACTTGGTTTTACTATAGCGAGGCATGTGGGTGATGAATGGCATCAACCCCCCGCCGTATAAGTCAGAAGCAGAAGCCCTCTGGTACAAAGAGAACCGACCTTCGGAGTACTAAATTCTGCTCAGAGGAGAAAGCGAGTGCCAATAATGTATAATATACATACACACTTGTCATGACTATCGTCTGATGAGACGAGGTTCTCCCTATCTGATTTTCGATTGTTCATGTTGGAATGATTATAAGTCTGGACAAGAAAAAGTAAATTCGGACAGCTAACAATGCATTTTAGGTATATGACCAACAGTTTCGGAATTTCATGTCACCAAAAGCCCTTCAGCATGCGCGCCAAGAGTACACGTTCCTGTGATGACTATAAAAGTAAGTCTTCAACGAAAATTAATAATTGAAAAACAAAGTAACCATTCATGCGCTTCATGAAATGATTGATTTTGTCGGTTCTTGATCACAACCACGCCTGGGTTAAATGTCTATGCTCATGAGCTCCAAAGTAGAAGGGTCGGGCGGGAATATTCCTCGCAGAACCCTTGCTACTTTGAACAGCATGGGTTTCCTCCATGACTGTCCAAACTACTAGAAGACGAACGGTACTTGAGAGAGAAGTCGGCAGCTAGGGTACTGGAACCCCGAGCTCCTATGTGATGTGTGTCTTAGCTCTTCGCCATAGATACTAGTTGATATGAGAACTCGTTCAGGGTTTTCTCGTGCATCGAAATGGCAGTAGATAATTTGTCGCTCTTTGCGCGTTCTCGGCCGATGTTTTCTTTTCGAGTGATTTCATCCGTGATATTGATATATTCGACCAGCGATATACAATGACATAGACATCCTGGTGATGTAGCAAGCACGTCTGGCTGGAGAGTTGTCATTAACATTAGCTATTGTGCCCTCGCCTAGGACATCTGAAATGGACATACATCTCACGCTCTTATTTTGATGGTAGAAACGTCTTTTGCGGTGAAAGAGGAAGTAAAGCAGCGGCTACGCGTCGACCTTCCTCTGCCAATACGTTATACGTCGAGCAAGCATTTTTCTAAGGAGAGGATGGATAAGATAAAGAGGCTTTAAGAGACACGGCAAACGTACGATGTCCATCGTATCCACTTGGACGCCCAATTGGCTTATGTATGTCTGAATGAATAGCGGTGGTTGCACTAATCGCGTACCTGTCCCGAGAAGTAATATTTCTACTAAATATTAGGACATATAATCTAGAGAACAAGACCAAAAATGAACAGGGTCTGGGCGAAACAAGGTCAAAATTTTCCAGGTGTTCCTTCCTCCATCCTTGCCACAAAGTCTTTGACACATCCCATGGAAGCGCCTATCCTTCTAGAAAATGCATGCCGAAGTCGACCATCTGAATGTCTTGATTGGTTATTCTCTTAACTTGCACTGCTGGTGAATTGTCGTTGGAGAGGAAGTTGGTCAGTCCTCTGCCTCTATCATGGTCACCTAGGCTTCTCCAGCATGTGCCTGAGTGCAAAAGACGGAATGGTGGGTAGAAAAACGCTCGTTGGCGAGCAGGAGTGAGAACGCGTAGTAGACAGTGCATCACGCTTCCAAGGCACAATAGCAATAATAGCAGTGCAAGAAAGCCAGGCTCAAATCAAGCCTAACTGAAGAAAGGGAGGAAATGATGTTCGGATTCATCGTCTTGTAGCGGAACGGAATCAGCCAAAGTACTACAGGGACCTTGATGGAACTGAACGGTGAACTGCAAGTTCTCAGGCACTGTAGTTTGAAAGCAGTTGCATGATGCTCACATTCTGAACTGATACAACGAAACGCACTGGTAAAAGGTCGGGAAATGAAACAGCATCGTGCCTTCACTGCCCTGGGCGCGATTTTGTTTCAGCACATTATCTGAGCGACCCTACCATCTGAAGGTGTCAGCCTGAGCATCTACTTGTCGTGTGTTCGATTATCTTCGATATTCTAATAAATTAAGTTAGAAGGGTTCGGGGCCGTACTCACGACCTTTGGGCCGGCACAAGCAGTCATTCTTTAGCATCATCTTGATCTCCTCGTGCATGCAGAGAAATCCCGTCAGTCGCAGATACTGGTCGTGTGTATGTTGTCGCAGTCTGAGTCCTCGATGGTCTATTCAATAGTCGCTACGGGGGAAAATCTGTACAATACGTTTGACACAATTATGAAGAGTAAACGGAGAGCTTACCCTTGCAACATTCGCAGCATAATCCAGTCGACAGAATACCTTGGCATCTGTTTCGACTATGTTTACGAATGTGTTGTGACTTGAAAAAATATCTGCTTTGAAGTAAAGGACACGGAAGATGGGGTGAGGGGCAACGTTTTGCATTCTTAGTTAAATTGATAATGCTCGCCAAGAGACTTTCGATCCTGTCTTTGGCGCATGCAGTCCTGACTGCAGCTGCTTGGCCAACACTGCTAAGTGATGACACCAGTTCCTGGACTGTAAAATTAAGACCAGGACCGACCAGTCGCTGAGGCATCGTACTGAGGGATATTAAATACAACGACGTAGTCAACGTCCAGGAGAGCCCGAGTCGTTCGAATTTGAAAAGCTGACAAAGAAAATAACGCTTCCGTCTCTCACCTACTCTACTCGCCTTGACTGGCTTTGATGGCAGAATCATCTTCAGGATGCCCCCATCTCATGTTATCATCACTCCGACAAAGTCTACCCACCAAGGAGATGGCAACGGCGGACTCTCGGTAACCAAACAGATGCGCAACATCCTGGACCAGCCTGGCTACCTATCCTTCGAAATGGGCGGCGAAACTCTTCGAGTACTTTATAACGACATATCCTCTTCCTTTGACCGTCAAGAGCTCACTTATTTCGGACTATGCTGCTACCTGGGAGACTACCTCAGAGTCGTTAAGGTGAGCTTGACACATCCATCAAGTCTCCTCAGTTACTGAACTGTCAATTCATGAAGTCGAATCTGGAGACACCTCCTCCCTCGAAAGTACAGAGACGCCATACAGGTTTGGGTATCTCACCATCTTGTCCGGCGCGCAACGCTTGCAAACAGCCAATCCCCAGCATATCGACGTCCTCAAATATCTCATATCCCGCGGCGCGCCTGTAGACCTTCCAGATATCACTGGATGCACTGCCCTATCCCACGGAGCCATGAACCACATGGCGAAACTCGACATAGCTCGGGTCCTTCTGGAATCTGGGTCAGATCCCAATCAGCGTAACCGCTACGGCGAAGTCCCTCTACTCGGATGCTTCCAGACCAACGGAATCGGCGCTATCGACCTCCTCATGGAATTCGGCGCCGACATAGACATTGCAGACGCAGACGGAGTCAAGCCACGGGAGTTTC